AGATAATCACCAACTCAAGGGTAATGAGCACCTGATCACCTTAAACTTCTATATTTGTTCAAATGCATCTCTTCTAAGGTATGTAATGTATTATTGTTAATATTACTGAGATTTCTAAGACACCAAACCAGAACTCACTCTTCCTAAGCTTTCTCCATTGCTTCAGCTCTCCCTGCCTTGGGTACCCATTACTGTACTTCTCGCTTCTATGAGATTAACTATTCTCTTCCTGGCATATCTTACTTAGCACAGTATCTTCTAGGTTTAGCCCATGCTGTTGCAGTTATGTGCAGCCTGAATTTAAAGTGCAACTGCTATTTTTTATTTTAAATCTCACATACGGCTTACCATTTACTGAATGCAGTATACAAAAATCAATATTTACATCTCTTTCTTCTATGGAGCCATCTTCTAACATGAACTAGCTCCAAGTGAAGACGATCAACTAAGCATCTACATTTAGTTTCATAACTCTGCAAAATACAAAGACATGCCTTCAAACCAGCACTGATCCACAGAGATGACAGTAACAACATTTACAAATCTGGAAAGAAGAAGGGCTAGGAACTATCTTTGAAACCTTGAAGGAAGCATGGACCAGTAACTCATACTTCAATCCTAGCTACTCAGGAGACTAGGAGCTGATAATTAAGGTTCAAAGCAAGTTTGAACAAACAAGAGACATTTTTCCTTCAATGAATCAGCAAAAGAGGCAGAAGTGGAGGTGTGGCTCAAGTGGTTCAGCATTAGCAGCTGCCATGAGCCAGCCAAGCAAGTGCAAGGCCCTGAATTCAAACCTTAGTGCCATCAAAATAAATAAATAAAACAAAATTCAGTACACTAGGGATCTAGAAGACCATGGATTTCTGATCTGATAAAGATTGTCACACATGATAAATTATCAATATATCTGGTTAGAAAAAGAAAATCAGAAGCAAAGTGTCGGTAGCTCACGCTTGTAATCCTAGGTACTCAGGAGGCTGAGATCTGAGGATCAAGCCCCATGACCAACAAAAAAGAAGAGGAAGGAGGAAGAGGAGGAAGAGGAGGAGGAGGAGGAGGAGCAGGAGGGGGAAGAAGAAGAAGAGGAGGAGGAGAAAAAGAAAAACAGGTATGGTCTCAATATATATATATATATATCATCATCTATATTTTCTCGGGAATATTTAAGCTCTGCTTTATTCAAACAAAGGATGGGATGGGAACAGAGAGATAATGATTTGAGATTTAGGGAAAATAAAAACACAGAGCTATGCATAGAAAATCCCCAGACAGTAATACGGAAGAAAGCAGGTTGACTGTTGTACAACAGGACTGGGAACAACCAGCCTGATAAATGAGTTCTCTTAGGAGGCTATGGATGATGAAACTGGCAAGTCTACTCCTTTGGTTACTTCAGAGATTTATACTTCCAGGAAGAATCTCTGGACAAACAAACAAGCACATCAAAAAAAGTTAAGCCAACAACCACCACCGTAACAACAACAAAAAAATCAGTGATTTTTTTAACTCCAAAAATAGAACTTGTAAATGAAAGCAAATCTAATTTTCTATGCTACATGATTCAAACATGTATACTAAACACTAGAAAGCATACAAAGATAGATTAGGAAAGACCGCTATGTAACAATAGCATTTATAGTCATCAGAGTATAGAACTTAACAAATACAATCCAAGTATTTCAAATAACCATATTTTAAAAAATGGGGTTTATGATAGAAAGAAAGGAGAAGTTGGTGGCAAAAACAAATACAATCTTCATACTTGTACATCTATAATTAACTGAAAAGTTTTAAAAATCAGAATAAAATACATAGGCTAAATGTGTGGCTCAGCAGAAGAGCGCCAGCAGCACTAAATTAAAAGTAAATTCAATTAAATACACAAATAAATGACAAACCTGAAGCTAACTGCCTCTTGTAAAGAAGATGAAAGGAAGGGAAGTTGCCATTTTTTTAACACATTATGTATTAAAGCACTATGTACTTTAGTAACAATTCTAAAAAATACCAAATATAAGGTATTCTGTCAAGGTAAGAACTGACAAAGACTCAAGTTAACATTATCAATGGTCACCTCCAATAAAAGTCTTCTTCTGAAGAAAAAGAAAACTGAGTTTACTGAACACCAATTAAGTGTCGGGCTCAAAGTTACCTCCTTTTCCAAGGATTCTCATTGGGGACATTTTGATCTTGACCTTACACTTTTATGTGAGGAACAGAAGTATTAAAAAATAGCACGTTTGAGACACACAGCAAGTGAATGAAATCTTGACAGAATTTTAGGTTGAAGATACTGCAAGTGCTCTTGCACAAAGACTCTTCCCCTTTTAGTTATGTTTACATTTAATAGGATCATAGAAAACGGTTTCCTATTTTGTTATTCACCAGGTTAAACTTTTATATCTGGATTCTAAGGGAGATGGATATACTTTTTATATAATAAGATATACTTGTTATTATATAATAAGAGTTTTAGTCAACTATCTGATCCAGTCTATGCTGAAGGGTTCTGAGCCAAATTTGGCCACTGCCTGTACTTTTAAATAAAGTTTTACAGAAACCCAGTCTCTTTCATTGGTTCACATATCTTTGGTAGCTGCTTTCATGCTACAGCTACTGAGTTGAATAGCTGTAACAGAAAGCATTTGGCTGTGAAGCTTAAAACATCTACTATTTGCTCCCTTTATACAAAATATTTACTCATATCTGCTGTAATGGAATACCAAATGCCACCTCAATCGGTGAATCCTGTAACAGAGTCATGGGGCCATGAATTTATAAAGCTCAGCAAATTTTTCATAAAGAATGAGACATCCTCAATTTTTCTAATTAATGAACATCCTAAAGGCCCTCAAAATAGCCCCTACAGTCTAAGAACAAATCTTACATTCTACCTAGAATCTAATAAACACATGCTTCTTAGACAATTATGTGCATTTCTCTCTAGCTATAATAATATAATCAGAGAGTTTTAAAAGTTCCTAGTGAAGAAAAGAAACTTTAAAAAAGAATGTTTTATTTACTTTTCTACCTCCAATCATATATTGGCACTCAAGAGAAAAGGCACCAAAAATTCAATTATTTCCTTCAAAATGGAAAAATATAAAATCTAACAAAAATTACAGCATCTAACCTTAGGCAAGTTCCAACTAAGAAGGATACAAAATCAATGCTTTGATTAAAAAAAAAAAAAGAGAGAGGAAAATGTTCTAATCGTCCCAGAGGTGGCCAAAAGTGGTCATGTTTTCTCCATCCAGATCCCCGGTGCTGAAGACTGTACCAAGGGTCTGCTGACTCTTTTTGTGGTTCTAGAAGCTCCCTAAACACTTCAACTGTACAGAAATGAAGCTCTGAGAACATTCAAGCTCACTGTGTCACTTCACCAATGTGAATACGCAAGTGCTGATTCATGCTTTTAATATTTAAATACACATTTGTCAATAATGCTGACAACTTTTAAAGGAGGAAATACACAGAGTACACTACTTTGTCATCAAAATGCAGCCAAAAGGAACAACACTAAATAAGTGATACTAACAGTACAGTACTTCAGTATGTTCAAAACCGCATTTTGTAAGAAAAATAAAATCTATCTAGTATTAACCATGTAATTGCTAATCATAAAACTTGTGGTTTTGGCGCTGGTGGCTCACGCCTGTAATCCTAGCTACTCAGGAGGCTGAGATCTGAGAATCGCGGTTCAAAGCCAGCCCGGGCAGGAGAGACCGTGAGACTCCTATCTCCAATAAACCACCAGAAAACCGGAAGTGGCGCTGTAGCTCAAGTGGTAGAGTGCTCGCCTTGAGCTGAAGAGCTGAGGGACAGCGCCCAGGCCCAGAGTTCAAGCCCCACGACCGACAAAAAAAAAAAAAAAAAAAAAAACTTGTGGTTTTAAACATTTTTTAGAAAACATAATTCATGCTCTTTACATATATATGAATTATAGTATGTCAGAAATATAATTCTGCATCCATTAGAATTCTGCTTCTCCTTAATTCTAAAATGATTTTAGTTCAAACAAGTCTTTATACAAAGGGAGTATATTTTCAGGGAAGTACTAAAGAAAGCCAATAAACTCTAAGTACTCAACAAATCTGCAACTTAAACATGGGCAAATAATTGAATAATTCATGAGAACCATTTTGAGTAAATACTTCAAAAAAAAACTTTTTTAAGTGACAATTCCAGGGAGAGTGTCTATCCTTCACGCCTACAATCCTACCTACTCCGGATACTGAGATCTAAAGATCTAAGGGTCATGATTCAAAGCTAGCCAACGCAGGAAAGTCCATGAGATTCTTATCTTAACCACCAAAAAAGCTAGAAGTGTAGGTGTGGTAGAAGTGATAGAGCACTATCCTTGAGGAAAAAGAAGCTCAGAGGTAGCACTCAGGAACTGAATTCAAGCCCCAGGACCAGCACCAAAAAAAACAAAACAAATAAATAAACAAAAAACAGGATTCCAGGAAACAATTCTAATTAAATATAATCCCTCTCCCAAGATTTTTCAGTATAATGAATACAGAATATAAGTTACTTAAATATCTGAAATAAAACTACTTTAAAATATTTTAAATTAATAAAATTTAATATAAAAATTTAATTTAAAAATCTAACTACAATAGTCTCATATTCCCAAACAGAACACTGTTTTGATATGAACAAAATCCACAGTGTGGGCTGAATAACACTAATTCAACTCTCTGTTTTCCTTTGTTATAAATTAGGACACAGCAACGGTGTGAGATTAGTAACTAACATTAGGAACCTAGATACAAAGTACTAGCTTTCAGTTATTTAGAACCTCAATGAGCACAGCACTGCACACATCCCTCTTAATGTCTAAAGGCTAACATCTGCAAAAGTGCGCTGAACATCCTAAGAAACTCACTTCAGGGAGATGTGAAGGTTGGCATAGGAAACTCACAGGTATAAAAATGGACAAATGTGAACTTTTCAAAATCTACTTACGAAATGAAAGACGAATAAATACATACCCTTGAGGAGAAAGCTTGTCTAGCCATCCAGCTTTAACCTTTGTTGGAGAAGATCCATAAAAACAGGCGTAGGGAGAGATGGCATTTGAGGAAACGGCTGATGGCTCGGCATTTCCACTTGTTGAGCTTAAAGGATAACTGTGCCTGTTTACAGAGTCTGAATTTAATGTTTTTTGGATCTTTGACTTAGACGCCTTTGAATTTTTCCTTTTTAAACTCTGGAAGCATTCTTCTACTGTTGAGTATTCTGATTCAGAAGTAGAGTCACCTAGAAAATTGTTTTTATCCTCTCGAGGTATCCAAATATCTTCTACTTTGTCTTCGCCAATTTTCTCCTTCCTGTTATCATAGATGCTAAACAGAAAGAAAGAAATGGGATTCAAGTTTCAACGTGCTAGATGAGACTTATGCATTCACAATTTCTTTGTTATTATTTGTTTGTTTGGGGAGTTTATTTTACTTATAAATAACCAATCATAGAAACCAAAGGCCAGAATAGTCTTAAGAGTTCAATTACCTTCTCCGATAATTTTCAAAACTTCTCAAGAAAAATGAGAATAAATACTCTTGCTGGGCACCAGTGGCTCATGCCTATAGCTCCTTAAGAGGCTGAGATCTAAGGATCAAGGTTCAGAGCCAGCTGGGCTGGAAAGTTTATAACACTCTTATCTCCAAGTAACCACCTGAAAACCAGAAGTAGTGCTGTGGCTCAAAGTGCTATATTTGAATACAATTAAATTGTAAGTATAATTTAACCTGGCTCCTTTTGGTTTTGCAAGTTTGGTGCAGGTAGTAAGGATGGAGACTGATCAGTTTTTACATCTCAATTTAAATATTATAAGCATAAATCAGTGACTCAACTCAATCTCTAATATCTGGGAAACATTATAAAACATTAGGTTATCTGTACATATTATTTCCAGCTCCCTGCCCCTTTTCAGTCAATACAAGTTCTATCATAATGTAATAAAATGGAGATTATATCTGATTGCTCAGAACGTCACTACTGTTTCAGTATTATGTTTCACACTCCACATTTCTAGCCAAAAAGTATTGTCCTTGTATATTCAGAAGGTAAACAGTGTAGAAGGCATAATCATTGGAACTTATTAGCTAAGCACATTCCTATAGATTTAAGAAATGTCAGGATAAATTCACACAGTAACTTATGCAAAACAAAACCCTTAACAAGGAAGTCTTTGCTAATGGATGAAATGGTATGCCAAAGAGTCAAATTACATCTTTCCAGATGCCAGAAAGCTTTAAAAAACTATGACTTATTTAAAGAATGATTTAGCCTTTTCACTTTTTAGATTATAATGGATTCACACCAAAGGCTCACTGTATGATTGTAATGAGTAACACAACAGTGTTACCCTTAGAAAATGAAAGGTAAATAGAAAATAAAATGAATGCGAGATAATCCAGTATTCCAAGAAATTCCGATAGAAAACTGAGGGGAAAAAATACAAAATCTAAATTAATGCCTACAAATTCTGCTTCATTTTGTCCGACACAATAACGGAGTAATCAAGTCTCTTCCCAACAACGAAACTCTAACAGAAAGTACATACTATATTTGTAAAGTACTACAATTAAGCAGTATTTTTCTCACTACTCTTTTGCCTTTAAATTAATGTAACCTGCCATCTTTGAGAGGGGCAATGGGTGGACTTAGAATAAGACAAAATAATCTCCCATATAATTGTTCTTAAAAGCCTAAAGGAAATTTTTGAGTTTATCCAGGTAACTATTTTCTTAGGACTAAAATATAAAACTATAAACCACAGCTTAGATTTTAAAACATTTATTCTAACAAATGACTCATTGTCAGTCATGAAATGATACCTTGATCTGATTAAAAAAGAGTTGCTTGAAGTGGCTGCTTCCTCTTTTTCTTCTTTGGTCCAAAATTCATTCCTTATAGATCTCTTCTATTTAAAAACAATGCACAGTTAATGTTTTGCTTTTGGGTTCAAAGATAGTCTCACTGTGGCAATGTTTTACAAAGATATACAATATCTGACTTTAGTTCTATTAAATGTCCAATTGCTTAGATTAACATTATTAGTAAAATATGTAATTAGGGAGATTACATTAAACAGCAACCTTCTGATGCAACTTTCTGATTATATTTGAATTATACCTCAGCATTGAAACTTAAGACAAAAATGTTCTGTAAGAACAAACTCATACTTTTGCTCCTCCCCGATACACATTTTCTCTCAACTTCTCTATTGTCAAGACCAAGAAATAAAGCTGGAAAGTAGGAAAGTACTACAAAGGAAATCCTGAACAATAAACTAAGTAAAATACATAGATAATCAAAAGCTAGCATATTTAAGAAGTCTGTATTTGATTACGAAGCAAAGCAAAATCTGAGGAGTTTTTGTGTTTTTTTTTCCCTTACCAACAGTAAGTTTACCAAGTGGCAAATTTTTAAAGCCTATACCTAAAAGTAACACGAAAATGCGTTTTATGATATAGTTTTTTTCTATGTTTTTAAGATACAGTTTTTCCATAATTTTATTGAACAGAAACTTTACTCTCTAGAAATCTCATTCTTCACAATCATGCATTCTTCAAACAGTGTATAGGAAAGTAAAAAGATACATATAATCAGTAGGGTGAAGAACTGATCATGGAAAAAATGAAACAAAACATATGGGACTAACCTTGGCATTTTCTAGATTTTGGAAGAGAAAGGTCTCTCCATAAGGAAAGATGGAAGATGAATTCTCCTCATTTGAATCTTTTGGGGGAAATTACAGAATGAGAATGGAAAAAGATGAATAACATGGAATAGTTGGGAGGGGAAAAGAAATAAAAGCATGTATTTAAATATTTTGCAGCAATATCAGAACTTAAGCATTATTCTGTGAGAGTCCAAAATTATGTTCACAATTCTTACTTCCCCCAGGTCAACTATCCCCATTAAAAGCATTAATACAATGCTTTTAATGCACCACCCCCTGTATACACTAATTCTTTCACACCCACACACTCACTTTTCAATTATCACAGTACTGACTTATGATCTAGATTAACATAACCAAGTACACTGCCCACAGGAAATACAAACTGCCCTGTGTCATTCAAAATTCTAATTCCTAAATAAGAGGATATTCTCTATGATACAATCTTAACTCTATTGTCCAAGAAACAATTATAAGCAGATCACTACCACATAGTTATTAAAATCTCACAATCTATTTAGTTGTTTATCACCACTATGAACACAACTGTAATGACATTATTTTAGGAGAACTATACTTAATCTCCAAGAAAGAATTCACACTACTTGTATTTCTGTTCGGACAAATCAAAGGCAAGGATAGTCGATCATTTGCCCTGTTATTGTCACGAACACTGTTCCTCACCTTATATAAGCAGAATTTTCCAACAGAAAGGAAAGCTCTGCTAAGCACCCATTTACCACAGCTATAATGTCAGCTCTTTCCTGTTACCATGGAAAAAAGCACTTTCCATATATCTCTGTCCTGCAGCTCAGACCGCCTGAAACCATTCATTTTAGTTAAATGTCTTCAATTTTGACTAATGATAAGTGAAGCTTGCTTAAAAATTCTTTTTCGATAAGCATGTACAAATTTTGGGGTGTCTGAGTATATATTACAGTCTTTTGTTCACTTACCTTTAACACTTTTGAAGTACTCTGAATACTGACACAGTTTCTCACATTATTTCCTATTTTACAAGTGGGCTGCCCTTCTCAATCACAATTTTAACACATTTTTTAAGACTATCAAATGAGTAGGAACTAATTTATAGAGACTTACTCTTCAGTGTCACAGGTTTTCCAGGTGAGGTAGTAACATTTCTTCTCTCACGGAAATAGCTTAAATCAAAGGTAAAAAGTTATGAGTTATTATTTAATACCGTGAGTAGTAAGGAAACATGTGGAGACAGCAACATTCAAAGTAAGTCTGATTTGATATGAAGAAAATGGCTAAATTACACGAATACATTTTTCTATACAACATTTTAAATGGAAAATTTTTTAAAAATCTATTTACAACAATGCTATTACACTTTCAGTTAAAAGCACATACCAGTAAGTCAAACACCAATTTCAGAATACTGGTTAAAACTCTTGCCATGGAGGGAAGAAGCAAGAAAGAAAAAGCCACTATAATTTATTATTTCTCAACCCACTAAAGTTGAGGTCTACATGACAAAACTACTTTCAATCAAGATGGTATATGGTAATATCACTATTTTTAACTACTTTCTATATGTCTGATATTTGACAAATTAAAAATAACTTCGTCTAAATATTTTTGTTGTGGTTTTTCATTTTTTTCCTTAGTGATGATTCATACCACAGTCACTAGTTAAACTGTATAAACTAAGAGGATGCTTCTTCTCCCCCAAAGGAAGTCATAATTTTACTTCCTCTTTCATCACACGCCTTTTCTTCCTTCTCTCCTTACCCAAGATTTCAGACCAGGGTTCCTCAAGTACTCCACCAGAAATATACTAGAATATGTGTATAATTAATGAAAGGCACAGAAATTGTCCAGTATGAAAATGAATGGAGGAAATTAAATACATGTACAGAGCCTGACTTGTAGATTTTCAAAATAGGGAAGTTTTTAATTGAAACTTACTCTTAATAAAATGTAAAAATATATATCCAAACAAAAGTAAAATTTAAATACCCAAATAGTAAGAAAATGTAAAAAAAAGTGTAAATAAGAAAACATCTATGATTTTGAGTCTATTAAATGATTTGATAATAAGTTCTGGTAATATTCCTCCAATATAAGTTTCATTATCTCTAAGTCCCTAAATTAAGCTTTTTTTTTCTCTCTTTCTGAAAATAGAGGAAACCTACTGATTAATCTACTGAAATCTACTGACCTCTTAGAAAACAGCCTTTGTTGGGAGATGTAATATATTTCTAAAAGATCTATGAAAATACCTAAGACCCATTCCTTCAATAGAGAATTTGCAAATTCCTGCGAAAGCAAATCTGGCTGGTATTATCAATAGAACTATGTCATATCAAAGTTCTTATGTTAAATGCCCAATGCAATGTAAATATATTTGGGAGATAGAGATTGTAGGAGTAATTAAGGTTGAATGAAATCATAAGGAGAGAGCCCTATTCCAATACGACTGGAAGCCTTGGGAAGAATAACCAGAGACAGATAACTCGCTGTCCTTGAGCCCAGGCTCTGAGAAAAGAAAGTATGAGCAGACATCAAAAAGGTCCCTGAAAGTCAGGACAGTGTTGTGATCATCCAACCTCCAAATTTTGAGAAAATAAATCTCTTCCATATAAGTCACCAAGTTATGGTTTTTGTTATGGGTTACGGTACTCAGAATGATCAAAAACAACTTGTTTTGATATCAGAATTAAAAGGGTTCATTAAAAAGTTTTTAAAAGAAAGAAAAATCACAAATATATAAAATATACATTTGTGTGTTTGTGTGTGTGTGTGTGTGTGTGTGTGTGTGTGTGTGTATGCCACTTCCAGTTTTCTGGTGGCTAGTTGAAAATAGCCATATAATGAACTTCCCTGCCTGGGCTGACTTCAAACTGCAGATCTCAGCCTCTTGTGTAGATAGGATTATAGGCTTGAGCCACTGGCACCGAACTTACTTATATTTTTATCACTTAACCTGCCAAGAAAAGCAATGACATAAAGGTAAATGTCAAACATCTATGACTTAAGCAAAGCAATCATAAGAAAAAATAATGAAGGCCCAGTACCTGTGGCTCATGCCTGTAATCCTAGCTACTTAGGAGGCTGAGATCTGAGAATCGCAGTTCAAAGCCAACCCAGACAGGAAGGACCATAAGACTCTTATCTCCAATAAACCACCATAAAACCAGAAGTGGCTCTGTAGCTCAAGTGGTAGAGCGCTAGCCTTGAGATGAAGCTCTGAGGGACAGCGCCCAGGCCCAGAGTTCAAGCCCCACGGCTGAACAAAAAAAAAGAAAATAATGACGTGCGCACCATATATGTATCATTTCACAGAATGTTTCCAATAACATAGATATCACAAGTGTTTTTTTTTTTAGTTGAATTCCAAGGAAAAAGTTCTACAGTCCTCAGGCAGCAGTTTAAAACTGACCTGTGGTTACCATAATCCCTACCTAACACACAAATCTGAATTCACAAAGCTGAGAGTGATTTACAGCACAGACCAATGATGTGAAACTCACAATGCAGGGATTACCTCATTCTGCAAGTTTCTGCAAACTGTCCTTAGGATAGGAATGAACATTATAGAAAGATTAAACTATACAATGATAAAACATTATCATGATCTTTTTTCAGTGTACTAGCAAGAGCTGTAATATATACTTTTTTCGAACAAGGTATAATCTTTACTTCATGAAATATAAAGTACAAATGAAGTACCCCAAGCAAATGAATACATGTTCTTATTCTCTAACAATGAATCCATTAATTATTAATCTATTCATTTAATCTAGGCACTAGTGGCCTACATCTGTAACTCTAAATCCTATCTGTTCAGAAGGCTGAAATCTGAGGGTTACATTTATAAGCAAGCCCTAGAACAAGTGAGGTTCTTACCTCCTATTAATTACCAAAAAGACAGAAATGGAACTGTGCCTCAAATGGTAGAGGAATAGCTTTGAGGGGGAAAAAAAAGGGTCAGGAATAGCACCGAAGCCCTGAGTTTAACCCCAGGAAAAAAAAAAAAAAAGACCACCAAAAACTTTATTTGGATTTTCAAGCAAAAATTTGCAAATACTGAAATAATTTTCCTGTTTTACATAAAACTCATCAAGAAAGCATTTTAAAAGGGGGGATGGAGGCCTAAATTTTAGGACTGTTAGCATGTTTCCATTATAAAGTAAAATGTGAAGCTTTTCCTGAAAATGAAAAGCCTATGATGTGTTTGTAGCTTTTTCTTTTAATTCAGCAGAGCAAACAAATGCTAACTGCTACAATTTATACTTTCTATTTATTCATTTTCCATGAAAGTGTGTAAAATAGTGTTTCTCATATCTATTACCTATGTACACCCACTTTTTTTCATGTTAGTCTCACTCTGTAGCTCAGACCAGTCCCAAACTCCACACAGCCTGGATGTCCCAGAACTCACAATCTCCAGCCCTTTGTTTCATGAGTGCTAGTATTATGTAGATGTATATACCACTACACCTAGACCAAGATTTTTATTCTTAATAAAAGCTCAGGGAGAGCTGGGAACTGCAGGTTCAGATTTCTGTTTTGTAATAGATGTGCTCCCATTATAGCACAGCTGTGCATACCACTCCTTCCCAGAACTTTGGGATCCTTACTTTCCCCTCTCTCCAAACACTCAGAGGCACTTTGTCTAAAAATAAACAAATGAATAAATAATAAAAAGGTTTTACAACTTGTGCCAAGGGTTAAAATAGTTGCATAAAAGATAAAAAATTAAAATACGCTAAACTATAAAGAACAGAAAGAAAGGTACATCTTTCAGTGACTTAGGAGTACTTCTTCCTTCATGATTCTCCTAAAAAAGATCACAGGACAGTCCCAGAATTCACATGGAAATAACAAGATGCCAGCTGAACTCAGTTTCTGTTTGGGATAACAAAGAACTCCAAGTTAAGTGTGAATACCTCACCTCTGGGTCTGATCTGACCTCAACAGATAAGAGTTAAAGACTTACAGAGAAACTTCTCTGCAGAGGGAAGAAGGATGGTCAATAGACACATGAAGAAATGCTCAACCTCCCTAGCCATAAAAGAAATGCAAATCAAAACAACATTGAGATACCACCCCACCCCAGTTAGAATGGCTAGAATCAAGAACTCTAATAACAACAGATGCTGGAGGGGATGTGGACAGAAGGGAACCCTACTGCATCGTTGGTGGGAGTGTAAACTTGTTCAACCACTTTGGAAAGCAGTATGGAGGTTCCTCAAAAGATTCCACATAGAGCTCCCTATGACCCAGCAATCCCACTTTTGGGCATTTACCCAAATGTTTACAAACAAGACCACACTAAAGCTACCAGCACAACTATGTTTATTGCAGCATTATTTACCATAGCTAAGATCTGGAACCAACCCAGATGCCCCTCAGTAGATGAATGGATCAAGAAAATGTGGTATATATACACAATGGAATTCTATGCCTCCATCAGAAAGAATGACATTGCCCCATTTGTTAGGAAATGGAAAGACTTGGAAAAAATTACATTAAGTGAAGTAAGCCAGGCCCAAAAAAGCATAGGTCCTATGGTTTCCCTTATTTCCAAAAACTAGTATATGTCTGAGTCAAGCAGAAAAGATCGGATAAGATGATGTTAGGCAAAATGAACCCCAAAACAGGGACACAAGTGGTTTTTTTCTTTCTTGCTATTGTTCCTAACATATTTATAATGTACCATGTGATTTTTTTTGTTTCTTTATATGTTCCTCCCCCAAAGATACAACCCCTGTTTTCACTGTATTTGTTGTTGGTATAATTTGGGGAGGGGAAGGGAAAAAAGCAAAATGTTTAAATAGGGATACAGGTTGACCCACTGCAACAATGAGATGTAGAAGACACTATGTTGAAAAACAAACTTTACAATTTAGGCGGGGGAAGGAGAAGTGTAGTTGTGGAGGTGGGAGGAAAGGGATGGTAGGGGAAAAACAAAGGAGGAGCCAAGCACTGGTGGTTCACGCCTGTATTATTAGCTCCTCAGGAGGCTGAGATCTGAAGATCATGGCTCAAAGGCAGCCTGGGTAGGAAAGTCTGTGAGACTCTTATATCCAATTAACCACCAGAAAACCAGAAGTGGCACTGTGGCTCAAGCAGTAGAGCGCTTGCCTTGAGCTGAAGAACGCAGGGACAACACCCAAGTACAGAGTTCAAG